AGATAAGGCAGAACACAGAAGCCCTGTGAGCACGACAATAGATAAGGCAGAACACAGAAGCCCTGTGAGCACGGCAGAAGATAAGGCAGAAACCAAACCCTAAAAAATAGGGTAAGGCAAGGCAAACACACTAGCAAAGGCATGAGCAACAATACTGGCACCATAACAGGCAGGAGCAACAAGACAGAGACATAACAGGCATCATCAACAGCAATACAAGGCATTGGCATTGGCAACAGTAGAGACAACTTCTCTTCACTCCCCCTCTCCCCCTGAAGAGAAGGGGTCGATGGAGCCATATGATCAATGGTACTTGAGAAACATGCACTGACTAACTCTGACATGTAGCAGAATCAGCCATGGTAGATAGGTGGTTAAATTGCAGCGGAATAGATGAGCAACGGTGACAATAGCAAGGTAGGCAGCGATGACAGTAGCAAGGTAGACGGCGGCAGCGAAGGCAGACTAGGATTATAAGCTAGATGTATAGTGCAACGGAAATAGATAGTCTCTAGGGTTAGGGTAGAGACAGATCAAAACACAGTAACATCATCGGCAATGACCATAATAGCGGCAACATCAACGACAACAATAGCGGCAACGGTAACATCAACGACAGTAGTAGAGGTAACGGCAACGACAACAGCAGCAACAACAGTTCTTCCATATCAACTTTAGCTAATTCACACAGACAACTTCTCTTCACTCCTCCTCTCCCCCTGAAGAGAAGAGGTCGTCGGAGTCAAAAAATAAGCAACATCTTCATGGGAATATGTCAAGCTAATGGGGATACGTCAATAAACATATCCTTTTCACTCCCCCTCCCCCCCCTTAAAGAGGAGGGGAGGAAAGCACTTAAATTGTAAGGAGAACGCAAACACAGGTCACAAGAAAACTAGGCTCTGATACCATGTCAAACAAAGTAGGGCAAATATTCAGTTATGCTAAGATACGCTCATATTCGCTCATATTTTTATTCTTCTCCAATATGGAGGTATTTATATAAGTACAATCCTAAATAAAATAGGAAATAAATCTAAATTACAATAGAAAATATATCTAAATTACAATAGGAAATAAATCTCTATTACAATAAGACTAAATAATAATTGGTAAGTAATCAAAATTCTAACTAAATAGGGAACCAAAATCCTAACTAAGTAAGGACTCGCCAACAGTTCATGAAGTGTTGTGTTCCACGTGTGAATGATGCAATGCACGTCCAAATTGGCCGGCGTTATATCTCTCCATGGTTTTGGGTTCTGGTTCTTGGTAATGGTAATTGTAGTAGGAGGTCTATTGTGATAATGTCAGCTGTCCACTTATCTCCAACTTACGAATTTGGTTAATACAAAACTCTGTGATCATATTTTTACTTAAATTTTTTTCGATTGTCGAATTCGATCCGTGCTAAGAGATTTATCATTCATGGATGTTGATAAAGGTCCTCCCTAACAGAGAGGTAGCTTGTGCTGAGAAATGCTTTCTCTAGTTTAAAAGGGCAACTAATGTTACTAATGTTACCTTTTACTTCGTGTCACTGTCAAAATTGTTTTACAGGTGTTCTTTTTTCTTTTCTTTTTCGTTTTTGGTGAGAATTAAAAAAGGTGATAGTTTATAGAACAACTCTGCACCATTGAAGAAGGAAGAAAAGAAACCCACACAACCGAGATTCATGAATTAAGGTTTCACCTAGAAGTTGCATATTCTTTTTGTTCTCATGAATCATGAACTTCAAGGCTAACATTTTCTAGCCAAACGAGTAAGAATGAGACTAAAATTCAGAAATTTCAAACTCCAAACAGACAGACAGGCTTTGAGAGCTTCAAAATTTTCGCTCAGATACGTCAAAATATATCAGATCATCAATGAGGGTTGAACAAAAGAATCAAACATTCATCACCGTTAACTGCATAATCTTGTAACAAGCAATAACATCCAAATGCGTAATCAAGTTCAAATTTATGCTCCCTCACACTATACGTATTTTGGAGATTGGAGGGGAATCAATCTCTTGAAAGCTATGGTGTTGACATCAACTGGAAGTCACAGTCCTCCGAAAACAAAGAGGAAACAGTGTGGAAACTTGGTGATTCTGGAGAGAAAGGAGGTGAAGAGTCAAGGTTGTCAAACAGCCAGGGTAGACTGATAGTTCATCCTCATACATCTCTTCCAAATCCGAATACCTCGGGGGAGACTCCGGCTGAAAACAAAGACAAACAAACAGTATCGTCACGAAAGATCTAAACTGACAAAGTGATTGCAGAAAAAGTAAAAGGGAAATTCAAAAGTTACCTCAAATGAACTTGACGATGCAGGTTCTGCCCAGGGAGCAAGACTCATGCAACCAACTGAACAAAAAATGAATTAAAATGTCCAGAAATCATTGATATCAAGAAATTCAACTATTTTTAAAGTAAAATACCCTTACCGAGATTAAGTGTCATCAGAATTGGCCGGGTTTGTGCTTTAAAGCATTCTTCATGATTGTGCAGAAATCGTTCCTCTGCAATAGCACCAGGACAAATAGCCTCCTCCGCCACAACACTCAGCTTCATGTTGTGCTTCTTCTGCACGTGTGGTGGCGGATCCACACTGGGGCAAGGGGTGTCAATTGACTCCTGCAAACCAGAAACCATGGCTTGGGGAGAAGAAATGTGACCCCTGCAATGGCTGCATGGTTGGCCAAAGAAACAGAGGGAGAGAGGAAGATGATCAAGGAAAAAAATAGAAGGAGAGAGGAAGAGAGGGAGTGGGAAGAAGGAAAAGAAAAAATACATAATATTGTCAGACTTTGAATCACATCAGCTTTTCGAGAAATTTTTTCATGCGTGAAGAGTTTTAAATTTTTTTCCCTCCTACGAACTACATACCCGTTACATGCATACGTTAGTTAATAGTTATATGAAATTAAAACAACAAAAGGCAAGGGCTCGCGTGCATTCCTATCCTTTTTTTTTTGCTTTAATTAATTAATAATGATTGTTGTATGTGATTAGCTTTTGTAAGCTTTAATTAAGTAATAAAGAATGTTTTGGTTAATTAGTTTAGTTTTTGTGTTAGTTTAGTTTAGTTTTTTTTTTGTTATTATATTTAGCTAGTCTGGTTTTTGTGTTAATTTTCTTCACATTTTCTTCAAACTCCAAACAGACAGAGAGCTTCAAAATTTTCACTCAGATACGTCAAAATATATCAGATCATCAATGTGGGTTGAATAAAAGAATCAAACATTCATCACCGTTAACTACGTAGTCTTGGAACAAGCAATAACATCCAAATGCTCAATTAACAAAACAGCTAAGAAAACCCTTCTGGAAGCAAGGGGGACTATCAATTTCAAGTTCAAATTGATGCTCCGTCACACTATACGCCTTTTGGAGATTGGAGGGGAATCAATCCCTTGAAAACTATGGTGTTTAAATCAACTGGAAGTCACAATCCTCCGAAAACAAAGAGGAAACAGTGTGGAAACTCGGTGATTTTGGAGAGAAAGGTGGTGAGTCAAGCTTTTCAGACAGCCAGGATGGTTCAAGCTCATTCATCTCTTCCAACTCCAAATACCTCGGGGGAGACTCCGGCTGGCAAACAAAATGGTATCATCACGAAAGATCTAAACTGACAAAGTGATTGCAGAAAAAGAAAAAGGGGAATCAAAAGTTACCTCAAATTGACTTGACGATGCAGGTGCTGCCCAGGGAGATGCAAGATTCTTGCAAGAATCTGAACAAAAAATGAATTAACTAATGAATTAAAATGTCGAGAAATCACTGATATCAAGAAATTCAACTATTTTAAAAGTAACATACCCTTATGTAATCCAAGTGTCATCAGAAAATGATCCATGTCCATAGACTGGGTTTGTGCTTTAATGCATTCTTCATGATTGTGCAGAAATCGTTCCTCTGCAATAGCACCTGGACAAATAGCCTCCTCCGCCACAACACTCAGCTTCATGTTGTGCTTCTTCTGCACAAGTGGTGCCTGTGAGTTTGAAATGTCTGATAGAGCCTTCCTGCTACGGGTCTGAACCTTATCCGAGGCCTTAGAAAAGGCTTTCTTATTGCTTGCATCATGAACCATTTCCTTGGAAACCTGCTTTTTTGACGCCTGGGTGAGAGCAGGCTTCCCCGAATTTGATAGATCACCAAGTGGTTTCCTTGCACCAAGCTCCCCTTTCCTTTGTTTTCTGAAGGTATCACCTTTCCCCCCAAGAGAAGCTCCTGTCATAAGATATTATAAGGGTTAGACCAAACTAGCAGAACAACAATTTTAGACTTTAAAGAAAAGCAGCGCTAGATTTGAGTACCATGAGAGTGAACAATGAGATTCTGATCTTGAAACAAATGACCAATTGTTGATGCCATTGTGCTTTCTTGTAGTCAATTCAAATTAATCTTCTGAAAACTGTAGAAACAGCAGAAAAAGAATGCAGGAATTTAGCATATCTCTTCATATTCAATTGAGGGTGCAAGATGCAATCAATCACTGATTATAATATGCCTAAGATCAGAATTTGACATTCTTGGCTAGAAAAATAAACATTAATCACGATTGAGCAACAATTTTTTTGTCAAGAACACTCAAGAAATTAGATTGGATACCCCAAGAACTAGGACATCATACACACCAGACCCCCATGACAAGAAATACACTTCTGGGTCATCTTGATCCTAATATTCAACTTCCAATCCCACAAGAATTTCATATCTATCTTCCCCAGTCACCGAATCATCATCAAATCCCTAAAATCCTCCCTTACTTGGGGTTAAGCCTTGCCTGCCCCCCACAAATTGGGTGTCTTTAAATATTAAAGAAAGAAAGACCGACAAAGAAACATTCCACTGTAATCATAATTAATTAGTTACAATATATTCTTTAAAAAAATTGTTAAAATGAAATTAATCAGAAATTAAACTTCACATCCGAAGTCCTCCTTCCCTATCTTTCTGCAAATTGCAAATTGTTTACCCCTACAGAAAGATTCTTCTTCCATTTCGTAACCGAAACTAAAAATTTTACAAGATTAAGTAAACGAAGTATATTCTATATCATCTCAAACATAACTCGAACCCTAAATTAAACCCTAAATTTAAATCCTAAATCGTTGATTAAAAAAGAACCCAAAAATAAAACCCGAGTTAACAAACAAATCAGAAATGAAAAGATGGCGAAATTATACCTGTCAGAACAGAGGCAGAGGGCTGAAGTGAAAATGAAGAAGGCAGAATACAAGTAGTTTCGTTCGCAGAATAAGCGCAGAGTAATATCACAACAGAGAAATGCGTTTTTTAAATTTGAGAACAGAGAGGTCGGCGGCCATATAGACGGATGGGATTCCAACGGTAACTTCATGTTGTTTTTACGTTAATACCCCTATTTTCAAAACCTAATTACCAAAATGACATTTTCATGTTCATCCGTCCGATTTAGACACTTTGAATCCCCACCGCAATTGTTTTTTCTGTTTAGTACCCCAGTTTTTTCTGTTTATTGCCTCTTAACTTTAAATCAAATTTATTCATTAAACATACGATTATATAATGAGTATATATTATGTTAATTATTACACATATTTACACTAACATGAGTTTTGTAAGCGGCTTATAACAAGTGGTTAAGAACATTTATGCATGCATTCTGAGTCCTAGATTTGATTCCCCTTAATATAATTACATATAGTACACATACCGCATAAAACCACATAACGCATATTGGAGCGGGTTTGAGCAAGTCCAAACAGGTCAGACCTCTTTGCGCTCTATTGGTCCAGATCTCTGGCCAAGCTCGAGCTCATAAACCTTAACCCAAGGCCAACTTTATGTAATATCAGGTCGGGCCATCCAATATATTATGACCGGTTGAGTTTTAGCCCACCGCACTGGATGGGCTTACATCGGGCCTCAAGCTAGTGGACCAAATGATGATGGCTCAATGTAGGCATTATGAAACCTTGGAATGAAAGCTATTACTATCCCCAAGAAACATTAGAACTAGGGGTGGTCACAGGTCCGATTCTCACCCCAAATCGGAACCGGAACTGACACTATTCGTTTGTTCTTGTTTTGATGAAAAAAAATTATAAAACCAATTTGGTCTAGTTTGAACCGGAACTTTTTTTTTCAATTTTTTTTACAAACCCAACTAAAATGTAATTTTTTAAGGCTTAAAAATTCATAAATGGGCCAATTTTCCTAGAAAAGAGAGGTGATTTGGAGTTGGACTTGGAGAAAGATTAGTTATGGGCTTAGAAATTTATTGGGCTTAAATATTTTATTAAACACAGTCGATTTGATGTTTTCAATACAAGAATCATAACTTAACCAAACTGGTCCGGTTTGATTTTTTCTCAGCCCAATTCANAATTCATCTATGTTTTTCGGTTTTCCACTTTGAATGCCCACCCCCAATTAGAACAAATCAAAATTGGCACAATCGATAAGAGGGGTGGGTTTGAAACTCAGCATAAAAGAAACTGTATAACTTGCTAAACTTGAAGTACATATATTTTTATTTAATATTGTCAAGGTCGGGCCAAGCCCAAAACAAGTAGAAAACGCAAGGAGGTTGAGAACTTGGGAGAGAGAGGAGCAGTGGCGGACCTACAGAGGTGCAAGGAGGTACAACTACACCTCCCCTCGAATGAGAAAGTGTTGCAGGTGTGGGAAAGTTGCACCTTCGCTCAGTCTGGTTGTGCACTCCACATAGTCGACAAAAGACCTCATAGGCTTGCTTTTCTTTGTTGAGCAGCTACGTTGTGCTGTGTGCGCTTATATATATATAGGGGAATGCTAGCAACCTTCTCTCTAACCTTCTCCTTTGGATCTTCTCCCTTTGTTGCTTGACATGTGTCATTCCCCTTACACTTATAACAATGTCATTAATATATTATAGAAGCTAACTTTTGCTTTCCAAGTTTGCCCTTATTAAATGTATTCAATTTATCCCAAAAAAATTCACAACTTTCTTACCATCTTATTAATTTTTCTTTTAAAGTCAGTTTTTTTTTAAACACAGAGTTTAGATATTAAAAATAAAAAATAAAAAAAATCCTTCAAATCTGTAAGCACCCCAATGGTACAGAGTTTACAGACTAATTTTTTTTTTTCAAAGGAAATTGCTTGGTTTATACTACTAAATAAACCAAAATATCCCCAAAATCTGAATAGAAACAAAACAACACATTTTAATATTAGCAATGGTTACAAAACACCAAATAGTGAAATCTTTGTCCAATATTAACGTCTTCCCAAAAAATTTCCAGAGTAGTAGTAGAAACAAAAGATGATTAATCTCTCTAGACTTCACTTCACTTCTCTTGTTCAAAGGTATACGACTTCACTTCACCACTCATCTTCCCAAACTTCATATGCAAATCTTCTCTAATATGTATCAACTGTTCCTATTACCACAAAATTCAATTGGTCAAACAAGCATAAACAAAGTTCTTATAAATATATAAAAAATTCTATAAATAAATAAAAAGAAAAAGTTCTTATAACAATACCATCTTGTGTAGCTTGACCAACAAAATATTCATGCATGTCTGAGGTCCACAAATTATAATTTCCCTGTTACATATAGTAGATATGCACCTTAATTAATACAAATATATTAGTAATAAACACAAATAAATCATATATGACAATATTAACTACCATCCAGTCCATATTTAATTACTTCATTCCATTATGCCCTTCAAGAGTCTCATATTCATCCTATAACATATCAGGGGACATATCAAAGAAAAAC